TATTGAGAGCTTTGACAAGTGAACCCCTGAGGCTCCCCAGCCACACAGTTTGTAACAGGATAACAGCGAGAACAGGATGCTCACAGAATCAGGCTGGAGTCAGACTGCCAGGCCCCACAATAGCTCCATCGCGTACGAGATGTGGAATCTTGGGCAGACTCACCCACTCCTTCTGCAAGTATCTGTGGAGTCGCAGGCGCTGACCAAGGTGCTGGGTTAAGTGGCGATCAGAGCAGTCTTCCCTGCTGGTGCAGGGCTGGCGACACACGCTGAGCCTGTTCCCTTCCTCCTGCCTACCCAGGAGATGCTGAAAGTGATCGGATACATGCCCACACGAGGCCCTTAGGACAACCTCATAAACACAAGATGCCACCACTGCCACCACCACAATCGACCTCCACCTCCTCATGGCACTAAACTCAACTCAACGTCATCACCAAACCAACCTCAGATAAAAATTAGGATGCAACCAAGAAATATTTAAGAAATTCCACGAGAAAATAGAACCCTATGAAGAAAGATGGAAAAATGTTTCTCACAGAAGGTTAAGTGAAAACACATTTTTTGAAGATTCTGTTTGAGTTTTTTTTGAGTTGGAGTCTCACTCTGTCAGCCATGCTGGAGTGTAGTGGCACAATCAAGGCTACCACAGCCTCGACCTGCTGGGCTCAGGTGACCCTTCTGCCCCAGCCTTCCTAGTAGCTGGAACCACAGGAGCATGCCACCACGCCCAGTTATTTATTTATTTATTTACTGTAGAGATGAGGTCTCACCATGTTGCCCAAGCTGGTCTCAAACTCCTGGGCTCAAACAACCCTCTTGCCTTGGCCTCCTAAACAGCTGGGATTACAGGTGTGAGCCACCACACCTGGCTAGATTCTACTCTTAATAAAGCAGCAGTGAACACTGTCTGTACAGTGTTATTATGTACTGTTTTAAGTGTTTCACATATACAAACAAATAAGCCAATATTCCCCAAACACTATGACATATGTGACATGACTATTCTTTGATAAATGATGAAACTGTAGCATAGAATGGTAAGTAATTTGACTCAGGCCATAGTCAGTAAGTAGCAAAGTCAAAACTCAAGCACTGGCCAGTCAGCTTAAGGGTCCATGCTCCTGACCCGCCTGTCTCTTAGCTCTGTTCTATGTTGAGTGGTACCATGGGGACAGTGTTCTTTGTTGAGTGGTACTATGGAGACAGAGCTCTATGCTGGATGGTACCATGGGGACACAGTTCTATGTTGGGTGATACCATGGGGACAGTGTTCTACATAGGGTGGTACTCCAAGGGCACTGTGGTATTTTGGGTAGTTACCAAGGCTACAGAAGAGGGAGTTAAGAAGGGAGGTGATATGGCAGTACGCAGGTTCTCCCTTCCCTGCCAGGCAGCTGCCCACTCCTCTGGCAGAGAGATAAGATCTCACGCTTAGGTGTATCAATTCCACCCCAGGTGTAAGCCCAAGAGAACTGAAAATCTATGTCCACGTATGTGATTGTTCATGCAACATCATCCATAACAGTCAAAAATTAGAAGCAACCCAAATGTCCATCAATGAATGGACAAACAAAACGTGGTCTATCCATACAATGGAATATCATCCAGCACTAAAAAAGAACAAGCACTGACAGATGCTACAATGTGGGTAAACCTTGAAATCCTCATGCTGTAAGTGAAAGACACCAATCACAGAAACCCATACCCCATTTATATGAAATACCCAGAAGAGGCAAATCCACCATGGTTGCCAAGGGCTGCGGCATGGGCAAGATTGGGATGTGACTGCTAATTGGTGCAAGTACTTCTTTTGGGGGTAATGAAAGCACAGTGGAATTAGGTAGTGATTGATGGCTGCACAGTTTGTGATCATTCTGGAAACTATACATTTTATTTTATTTTATTTTATTTTTTGATTTGGAGTCTCACTCTTGTCACCCAGGCTGGAGTGCAATGACACACTCACAGCCACTGCAGCCTCGACCTGCTGGGTTTAGGCGATCCTTCCACCTCAGCCTTCCAAGTAGCTGGAACTACAGGCGCATACCACCATGGCTGCTTAGTTTTTTTGATTTATTGTAGAGACAAGTCTCACCAAGTTGCCCAGGCTGGTCTCGAACCCCCAGGCTCAGGCAATCCTCTCACCTCAGACTCCCAAAGTGTTGGAATTACAGGCTGAGACACTGTGCCCGGCCAACTGTACAGTTTAAAAGGGTAATTTCTGTGGTATATGAGTTATTTCTCCCAAAAAAAGAAAGAAGGAAAAAAGACAATAAGAACAATAAGAACAATTGTGCTGCACCACAAATATCTCCAGAAGGAAAATACTGACTTATCTGTCTCCTGCAACAAATATAATCAATTGCCCACTAGGGTTTGGATCTAAATTACTTCTCTATTCAGTTTTTTAAAATCCCAATATGTGATTTTTGTATGTCAGTAAAAAAAATCTGAGAATCTCTAAAAACATAAATCTTTATAAGGACTATTTCATTCACAATATACTAGAGGTTTGATAAATGATTCAATAAAATTAAATTGAGTGAGAAAGTAAGTGACATTTTATTGCTATGACTTTTTCCTTCAACGTTACCAGTTGGTGTACATCTCACTTCCCACTTCCTACCTCCTTTGCAACTTCATGTGGTTACAAATGCAGTCGTAGCATCAGGCCAAAGAGCCCTCCTGCCTGGGCTGGAATCCTGCCTCTGTGACAAACTGGCTGTACGACCCAGAGCAAATAAACTAACTGCTCTTTGCCTCAGTCTCCTCTCTTTAAAATGGGAATGGCAGAAAGCATACTTCTCTCTTAAGGTTGTTGATGATTAAATATAAATTTGTATTTGTAAAGCACTTGGAATAGTGCCTGGAATGCTGTTATAAATGCTTTATAAGCCTGTGCATTATTAACAGTGTAGCATGGTCATGCTCCACAAACAAGGACCGTACCAACTGAGGGAGAAAGGCCCGAGGGAGTCAGTACAGAACTCTGGATTGCAACCTCTTAAAATGCATGAAATGTCAGAAAAGCACATAAATCTACTCAAACACTCCAGCCAGCTAATCCCATTAAGATGATCTATACAGCAGTGCATGTCACCCTGAAGGAGGAACTGCATCAAATAGCCAAATACAGCGTGCACGGGGTACGTGTGTACACCGTCGGGCTGCGTAATGCTGTCTTGATCAACGACAGGCCCCACGCAGAAGGATGGCCCCAGAGGATTACATTACCACCTTTGTATCACGTCTCTTCTATGTTCAGGTATATTTAGCGACACACATACTTGCCCCTGTGTGCCACTTGCCTACAGAATTCAACAGCCTCGGGCTGCATGGGTGTACTGTCTAGGAGCGACGGGACGCCTATCGAGGCTGTGAGTGCACTCTGTGATCCCAAACACGACAAAATCGCCTAACACGCATCATCGCTCAGAATACATCCCGGTCCTTAAGCGATCTATGTACAGACGCAAGCGCTCAAAAATCTAGGTCATTACAAAGACTTAACGTGCAAAACTAAAAATGATTTTAAATCTGGGGAGGAAACAAAAAACAATCACCTCAGTTCCTAGACAAATACTCTGTGTGTGTTCACCCACCCAAGCATCCATCCAACCGATTTCTCTAGAAATTGGTAAGTACGTAAATAGATCGAAATGTTCTGTCTCTACAGCACAGGTCCTCACAGGGCACAAGCCTGCTCTCAGGAGACTCTTCTGAAAATGTGATGTGGTCCTTGGACAGAATGAAGTACTGAATGAAGTACTGAAATACAGAATGAATGTTTTCAAAGAGTTCTTCAGAGACAAACCTACATTTGTTTCTTTCCATGTATTAGAGTAAAATTAATGTGCGATATGTCTCATACAAATTCATCTTATTTTTCTTATTTGTCCCTAGGTAAATAGAACATTCTTTAATATAAGAAGTTTTGATCTAGAAAAGTATCATGCAAAAACTACTCTTTAAAAATTAACTTTAAGGCCAAGCACAGTGGCTCATGCCTGTAATCCCAGCACTTTGGGAGGCCGAGGCAGCAGGATCACTTGAGCCCTGGAGTTCAAGACCAGCCTAGGCAAGATAGTGAGACCTTGTCTCTACAAAAAAAATATCAAAAAACTTGACTGGGCATGGTGGTACACTCCTATAGTCCCAGCTACCTGGGAGTCTGAAGCAGGAGGATCGCCTGAGCCCAGAAGGTCAAGGCTGCAATGAGCCATGAGCATGCCACTGTATTCCAGCCTCAGTAACAGAGTGAGACCCTGACTCAAAAAAAAATTAACTCTGAGGCAGAGAAAAGGTGAGGCAACACACTTCTCCAGTTAAGGACCACCAAAGACCTGGTGTAAGGCTGGAACAGTTCTGCTTTGAAGCGTGCTATTAAATGTCAGCAGCATAGATGGCTATGACATAATGGAGATCGCTAGAGCTAATCCTAGAGCTGTCTCTACAGAGACACAGGTCACCATCTTAAGTAACTCAAGTTTAACATTCCTTAATGGCACAGCCTATGCCAAATGCATTCCTCTGTAAAGACTGCTCAGCTCTTCCAATACGTCTTTCCAGGTCACAGAAATCCAGGCAATGTACAACACGCTGGTGCTGTGATCCTCCAGCCATCAGGGGCCGCAGCACCCGCAGCACTGGCAGCGGGGGAGAAAGGCAGACTCTCAGGGTCCCTGGACCTACCACATCCAAGTCTGCGCCCCCCCACATCCTCAGGCCTCCGAGTACACACCAGTCTGAGACGCACTGGTCTAGGTGTTATCTGGCTACATCAAGACAAAGAGTACCACGATGCAATTAAACAGCTTGCTTTTCAACGGTAAGAACAGGCTTTTGTGTCAGTACCCCAACTCAATGGAAAAAAATCTTGACCCACAAACAACCTCAACCATCAAGGCATTCTTGGAAAGGTTTATGATTGGAGCAGGCAGTGTGGAGTGCTGCCCGCCTGGGCAGGTTCACTGGGGGACCCGGAAGCCAGCTCCTACCTGCAAACCGCAGGGGCGCGTCTTTGTCCAGTGCAATCAGGGGCGGGTCGAGCAGCACGGCGTTGTCGTTCTCCGTGACTATGCCATGATAGGTAGGCTCCAGCCATGGCTTGTGCTTGTTAACTGCGGTGAAAACAAAAGAAGAAAACACACGAGGTCAGAGTTTCTCTCCAACCCACTGCTTCTGAAGACATCACCTATTGTTAAAATCAGAAAACTCTCATTGGGCTGGAAGGTAGCAATGATCACATTTTTGTTGCAAAGTTTGGTATTAAGACCTAAGTGGGATGAAATTCTCAATTCCAGGAAAGCAATGTGGAAATTATCTGAGTCCATGAAGCAACTAGAAATAAGAAACAAGCTGCTCTAGAAATCAAAGGAGAGAAGACGGACTGATGACTACAGGCTGCAGACAAACTCAAATTGTTTTTAGCCCATCACACAAAAGTTGCAAAGAAAGATGCTTGCTTTATGACAATCAATATTACCTGTTTTAAATTAGCACTACAAACAGGTAAAGCAAAAATACAAAACAGTATTTATTAATATAAAATTATGAATATGAAATGTTAAAATAAAAATTCAACATTTCTTTTTTAAAAACTTGACTGAAAACAAGAATGTTTAAGAATAACCCGCTTTGGAGTCAGGCTTGGAGTCAAACTCCAGCGTCCCCCTATTAGGAGCTATGTAGCCCTGAGCACCTTCCTTGATCTCTTCATCCGAACTTCTTCGTTTGTAAGCCAGGGATACCCCCTCCTCTGGGGGGGCACAGATCCCTGGAGAAGTTCCATAGGAACTTCTGCTTTTGTTTTTAAGACGAGAACTGCTGTTCCAGCTTACTCCACTTGGTTGGTGAGACCAGCGCAGAGCTCCTATCCACTTAGTCTTGTTTGGGGCTTGGTTCCAGGGTCTATACCCAACCTTCTCCCACCCTGGGCCCTTCCCTGAGCCCAGTCCCATCTTCACAGGCATGCTGGGGGCTGCAACTCACAGCTCCAACCTTTCCATTATCCACAGAGCCCATGATAACCTCAGGATGAGTGTGAACCAGGAGTCGATCTGAAAAGGTGAAAAGGAGTGGTGTGAAAACTTCATTTCTGGGTGGACAGCCTGTCTGTTGACTGACAGTTCAGGCTGTTTCTAGGCTTGAGTCAATCCAGAAACACCTTCACGCAGCATCACCATGACACCTCCACTCTCACAGGAGGCCTGATGTGCCTGCTACCTGCACTTCTGGGGGTCAGGGGTGGGGGGCTCACAAGTTAAACTTGGACTGAGTAGGCCTATGAAGGCCTATGTTTAGAAGGCAAAAGGACCAAACAAAGCGGCCTTCTCTCCAGTTGACGACACGTACCAGGCATTTACTCATGCCACATTCAAACCAACAGCAAATCCTTTTGCCTTCACTTTCAAAATAAACCCACAGCCTGGAGGGTGGCTGTTTCACAGGTATGGAGTTGCGGTTTTGAGGCTGAAACGAGTTCTGGAGGCTGGCTGCACAACAGTGTGGGTGCACTTAACCCTCCTGAACTGTGTGCTTACAAGTGATGGGGGTGGAAAATGTGATGCTATATGCACTTCACCACAATGCTTTAAAAATACACATACACACACATACACAAAACGTGAGCCAGGTGCAGTGGTTCATGCCTGTAATCCCAAAACTTTGGGAGGCTGAGGTGGGAAGATTACTTGAGTCCAGGAGTTCAAAACCAGCTTGGGAAACAGAGCAAGACCTTGTCTCCACAAAAACAACAAAACTTATCCAGGCATGGTGGTGCTTGCCTGTAGTCCCAGTTACTTGGGGAGTCAAGGCAGAAGGATCACCTAAGCTCAGGAGCTCGAGGCTGCAGTGAGCTGTGATTGTGCCACTGCACTCCAGCCTGGGTGAGAGAGTGAGACGCAACTTAAAAAACCAAAAAACAAAAAATTCATTAGACATTTATATAAATGATATTTTATGACAACTGTATTTTTGAAAACAAAGTTTCCTAAAAGAATAGCAATGGGGGCAACTCCTTTGGCTCTCCTCCCACTGTGGGAGCTTTTCTGTCCTCTCAATAAATCCTGCTTTCTAAAAAAAAAAGAATAGCAATGGTTAACATTTTACAAATCTTTTTGCCGTCTGGCTTCACAGAAAACAGCTGGGTTCTCAGAGACTCTACCTGTGCAGTCTGCATACTGCCTTGCTATCCATCACGGGGCTGCTGCAAAACTCCACTGTATACTCTTGAGCCGATAAGAAAAATGCAAATAACACCTCAACATTATTATAATATTTCAGCCCTCTCAATCCCATCAGGGTGTCAGGGAGCTGTTACCTCACTTGGATTCTGTCCAAAGGGTCCTTCCCGCTGCTGCCCTCACCACCCTCACTCTGCTCCAACAGGCAAGGAGAGGATGCAGGGGGACACTGAAGCCTGGGGCCCACCTGCTGGGGAGCCCTGCCTGGGCTCTGACCCACTTGTGACCTCAGAGCCTCAGCTTCCTCACCCGCAAAACGAGGATCATAATGGTCTCCACCTCGTAGGCTGCGTGATTAAACATGCAACCACATGTCATTACATGCAAAATGCTCAGAACAGTGTCTGGCATTCAGTAAATGTCAACGGGGGTAGTCACTTTTCTTCACACACACACACACACACACACACACACACACACACACACTTCATGAGGGTGTGGTGTTTTTGTCCTCTGCTAATTCCTAGTGCCTGGAATTCTGCCTAGCACATAATTACACAGTAATTATCAGTAAACAAATGAATATATAAGGAACTTCATTGGTACAGATAAAATCAGTTGCCCTGGTTTGTAAATTTTGTGGTAGAGAAGACAGTTTTGGAGCTGGGAATTCAAAAACAGATATGGTGTAGAGTTTTAGATACTGGGAAAGTGTTTTTTATTTCTTGTCTGTTTCTGGCAGGTGGATGTTCTGAGCAAGGAAGTTAGGAAATCCAGAGGCAGAGCGTGAATCAAGGAGTGAATCAAGGACTGATCAAAGGCGATCAGTCTGGAAAAGGCCAAGCTACGGTTGGGTTCAGAGGGGCCTCATGAACTCAAACCCAGATCATCAAGACCAGAAATTCCAGCCTCTGAAACTGTCTTCCCCTTCCCTCAGGCTGCTCTGGGACCAGAGATGAGGTAGGGAAGAGAACTCAGAGGGCCTGCACAGAGCCCTTCCCTGTAACCTCCCCAGGACGACAGGTGCAAGCCAGCTAGCAGGAGCTGCTACATGGGCTCCTGTTCCAGCATCTGGCCTGAGAGGGGGCCACAGAACACAGAGGACAACTCCACTTTGCTAGACACTCTACCTACCTATCTGGAACTCAGCATTGTTTCCAGGTATCTTTTTAAATAAACTGCATCATGATGTAGGCTGGAACCTAGCCACAGCTACAGATGTAAGACAAGCCATTTTAAAGAAGAGACTTGAAAAAGCCACTGTTTACTGCCAATCTCTCATTTTAAAACATGACTAGTTACTCACTTTGCCATGGATAACAACAGTTTACTCCACTTGGCTTCATACCTTAATTGTATTAATAAAATTACAAGCATAATAAAGAGTAAAACTGAAGATTATCCCAATACTTGAGACTATTCCAATATTTTTCCATAAAATTCCTGAGACTTGAACAAAGTGAATTCATTGCCTTTATTTAACCCAACAGGAAAGTAAAAATACAAGGCAGCCCAACTGTAAAACCTGCAGTGAGTGATAATATCAAGCGTGTATTTCTCTACACTCACGGAAAGGCCTGCCACTGAAGAGGGCAAATGGAACCAGGGGAAAATCATTCTATAGCTAAATTCCCAGTATTCTAGTTTTATACTTCAAAATATCTAAAATGCTCCTTTAAGCAGGCAGTACAAGAGACTTGGCCAGTTCCAAAGACTGAACTTGTAAATATTTAATGAATGATACTTTAAATATTTTATCAACTCGATTTGCATTATAAAACATTTATAGAAACAGGTGACTGATTTTTCTGTAATCATCTCCCCCTAAAAAAATCACAAAGACGAAAGACTGGTGGCCATAAGTCTAGGAACATGTTGCCTGTGTTGACAGTCTACACCTGATTCATTTCATCACATTTTAGATTGTTAAAAAACCATCTATGGGCCGGGCTCAGTGGCTCAGCCTGTAATCCCAGCACTTTGGGAGGCCTCCGAGGCGAGTGGACTGCCTGAGCCCACGGGTTCAAGACCAGCCCAGGCAACCTGACGAGACCTCATATCTACAATAAATTAAAAAAAAAAAAATTAGCTGGGCGTGGTAGCACACGCCTGTAATTCCGGCTACTTGGAAGGCTGCGGCAGGAGGATTGCCGGAGCCAAGTAGGTCAATGCTGGGGTGGCCATGAGCGTGCCACTACACCCCAGCCTGGGTGATGGAGTGAAACTCCAACTCAAAAAAAAGAAAAAACCAACTACATTTTGAATGGTACAGCATTCATTTAAAATAATGGGATGAGCCGGGCTCAGTGGCTCAGCATGTAATCCCGCACTTTGGGAGGCTGAGGTGAGTGAATTGATTGAGCCTGCAGGTTCGAGACACGCCTGGGCAACTTGGCAAGACCTCATCTCTACAATAAATCAAAAAAACTTGCCAGGCATGGTAGCGCACACCTGTAGTTCCAGTTGCTTGGAAGGCTGAGGCAGAAGGAGTGCCGGAGCCCAGCAGGTAGAGGCTGTGGTGGCCGGGA